CAAAATCGATGACTTTTAAAAAATCACAAAAATTGGATTTTTTTCGAAAATATTTTTCTTCCAACGGGCAAGATACATCTTAATAACCTATTGTGTGGTATATAACGACAATAATGTCTACCACCAATATTAATGCCTTTTGAAAGTTCCAGAAAAGCCAGGTAGATAAGAGATGATATGATACAGAATGGTCACTCCAGTGACCATTGGGGCGGAATGACTTGAAAAAGTCCTATTTTGGGCTTTCGTAAATTTTATATAGTTCGACCAAAAAACGTCGCAGAGAGTTCGGGACATCTCATTTTGTAGAGAATTGTTTGCTCTATCATTCTACGTAGTTTGAAAAAAATCGAAAATACACCCAGTTGATCAATTTTTGTAACCACTGTAGTTTTCCAGCACCTAGAACTTGCGAGCAAACTACATAGAATGATAGAGCAAACAATTTTCTACAAAATGAGATGTCCCCGAGCTCTCTACAACGTATTTTGGTCGAACTATATTAAATTTGCAAAAGCCCAAAATAGGACTTTTTCAAGTCATTCCCCTTCCCCCCCAATGGTCACTGGAGTAACCAAACTACTCTGCACAAACGAGAGTGCGTCTGACCAATCTGTCCATACTATTGCCATATTGGAGACACCAGTACTCTATTCCAGCAGTTGTTTCATCAGTAGCTCTCCTGGAACCGCTGTGGGGGGTAAAGGGTTAACGCTAATTAAGTGTAAACTAATATGGAACGACTTGAGAGAGGTGTTGATGGGACAAAGTGAGGAGTTAATTTGGGACGAACTGACAGTAAATCATAACTTTTGGCCAATAGACCCTGGATCTGAACTCTTTTAGGGCTAAAAGGCTTTTCCCTAGGCTTTTCTTAGTCTCACCGAGATCTATTTCAAGTGTTAATACGGAGTCGTAACTCGCGAGACAGTTGGAGCGGTTTCCTCGTAAGTAGTTTTTGCATTTTTTAAAAGCTTCAAAACTTCTAGATTATCTTCAAAAAAGCACGTAGTGATGAACGAGTAATTTTTTTCTCTTTACTAATGTTGCATTTTTCTTTTTTGACAGAGGTCGCAGCTTCATGAAATTCAGCAATAGGAAAAATAAATATTTGAATGTATTTATTAAACTGTCTACAGTTTTAACTGTGCATATGGATTATTATCAATTATTTACGTTCCATCTGAGACGTTCCATTTGAAATTTTTCTGTTGTAAATGTTCAATCAATTGTTGGATATCTATACCATTAGGTTTTGTTAATTCTTTCACACAACTATCAGCGTCTATAATTTCTTGTTTAAAATCATCGGTTAACGTATGAAAAACAATTTCATTGATTTGAGCTAATCTTGATGCTATTATTTGTAATATAAGCATTAACGTTCGATTTCCACCATAGGCACCGCAGCCAAACCAACCGGTATGAATAATAGTTTTTAATGATGAACCAGCACTACTCGATCTTCGTGATTTCATCACATTCAATTGATGTGTTTTTGATGCTAATAATTTAGCTGCCATAAATCCTGTATAACATGTTGATAAAATATAATTAATTTCTGAAATTTCATATGAATCTTGACCACTTCTTGGTGCTTCAATAGCCAAGATGTTCACGATCTGTGGTGTATTGAGATAGTTGTATGCATCTAGAATTTGTTTTTCTGTTGCTGTTGTAAATTTATTGCCATAAATATTTGTTGTATCCATATTTAATATACGTTCAACATTACTAATAAGAATTGGTGTTGGATTTTGACCATTTTCACTAATACGTGAACTAAATGAATAATTACAACTACAGAGATATTCTCGAATTGAAGCCAATTGAAAACATTCGAGTACTTGTAATTCATCTTGAGCAAGAAGACGTTTACTATAATACGAAAATAAATCATAATTAGCAAAATTTAAATACCATTCAATCGTTGATTGATCACGAGTTTGACCGTATGTAAATATATCCGGTTTATATGTCACTTTTAGTGGAACGTTGCCATCGTATGTATTTGGCAGTGAAAATGTTAGCCAACGTGTCATGAGAACAGAACGATCTTTGGAGGGTACATATTTATGTTTCTCCATGACCGTATTGTAGAGAAGTAATTTGTTTTTATCATGAAATTTTGGTGGAAATTTCTGAAATAAGTCATTTCCATTAAATTCAATAGCGTTCTCTAATTTACTCAAAAATTTTTCAGTATTACGATCATGATTATCACCGAATATTTGATTTTTAAGTTCATCTTTAGATTTTGCATTTATTTGAACATTGTTATTTTGATAATAATGTGGTTTTTCATAATCATCTGCTGAATCAACAAATCTTGACGTTGCCATGTTTTATGTCAATCTATATATTATACATTAAAAAAAATGTTTTACTAAAATAATAATTTTTTTTTTTTTTATTTCTTTTTTTTTCTCGTTTTGATAAGAACGGACGCAAAATATTTTACCAGTATATTTTTTTATCTCGACAAAAAACAACTTTTTTTTCCTTTTTCTTGTATATCATCCAACAGTCAAGTATAATGTGTAAGAAATAAAAATTAAAAATGCACGCTTCAAAGCACATATACGGTTTTCAATGAATTATTTCCACTTCTATTGTTTGTAACTTCTTTATTTTATGAATCGATCGTTGTGTTTTTCTGATTAAAAACTATCAAGCATATGGTTTAATCATTTTGATTACAGTGCGTTGTTGAGAACGAATTCTCTGCAACCAAAAAACAAAGACTGGCAAGATCAAATAATTTTATCATGTAATCTGGTGTCTAATTCAAAATCTAACGCTTCATGGATAGTTGTTTTCTGGATAACTAATGAATATAAAAAGATATCGGCCTGAGATTTGGATCAATTAAAACTAGAAACCCTAAAACGTCGTTTTTCATGAAAAACTAGAGAAAAAACATTTCTACATAAGATTCGAAGGGGATCTTTCGAAAATCACATCAAATTTCTGAATTTTGATATGGTAACATTCTAGTTTTCCGACAGCAGATATGCCGAAGTACCTTGTTCAAAGTGAGAGCTAAGAGAGATCTTGATTTTTATCCCTCTTAAGCGCATGATGACTTGACATAATCTTCGAAATTGGTTCTATGTACAGAATTTTAGCATGTAATGTACTTAAGGAGGATCCGCCCCACCTCGTTTTCTTCACCAGTTTGCAGGGGATATTTGGGTGTATATATCTCAACAAATGTTTCGGTTCCCGGACTTGCAGTTTTTGATTAAAAATATTTTTAAGTTTTTCTCAGTTTTTTCTGTCCTATTCTGAAAATTTTAATAAAACGTCAGTTTCTTAAATTACGAGTTGAGTCTAGCGTAGTTCATTAGAGGGCATTGAATTGTATAAAGAGAAAACATTTTCATCGTTCCCGAATGAAGTTTAATGCAGAAATTTAACTTTCACCTTCAATTTTAGAGCTATAAGTATTTTGGAAAAAAGTCTTTATGGCTAGTTTTGCTTGAAGCAAGCTTTTTGAAGCAAAAATGTGAGTATATAAGATGTTCAGAACCGAATTCCGTGGTCGAGTTTATTACTCTTTGATTTTAAAACTAAACAAGACAAAATTTTAAATTTTAAAAACCTTAAAATTTGGCTTAAAAATCAAAAAACGAAAAGTTTTAAAAAAGCTCTCATGAGGTACCTCCGAATTCGATTTTTAACATATATATCTAAAAGACATGCGGCCTTTCAATTCATTTTTGGCTGCGTTGTAAGTCTGGATTTGTTACACTAAGGAATCGGTCAGGCTGTTTTTTGAACGTGTTTTCTAAAAACCAAGACCATGTTTAGATTTTCAATGGAATACAAACAGGCTTCAAGGTCAACTGTCTTGTAGCCCGTGAATTCTTTACCAAATGAGGTATTGCATGAGTTTATTCGATGAATCGTTATGTAACAAATAGGACTTTAAGAGAGTACAACAACATAAATCAGCTGCCCTATCTCAGATTCGTTTCTTTTTTAAGCATTTTCAATTCCAAATTTCGGCGTGAGAAGGTTTTTAAAATAAAAAACCGTTTTTTTTTATAAATAACAGTACTTAAACCAATGTTACCTCACTCTTCAAAAAATTATCATAGATGTTATACGAAACCAAACTTAAAAAGGCGTTTCTGCCATATTGTTCAAAGAAAAGTTTGTCCGACGTTGACATCGGAAATCCTAATTACCGCTTAAAATAATCTCGACTGCTTCTACTTCATATTTAATTTAATTTTTATTTGGAATACAGAAATGAGAAACAAGAAATTTTGAACAGATAGTTCTTAACCCTTTACACCCGAAGACACTTTTATTATAGCTGCAGCTGAAATAACTACTGCATTAAAGCTTACAGTTCTTCGGTACATCCTTGTTATATCTGGATTTAAGTGATGTTGCTCTGCTGTGTGGATACATGATGCCCCCTGGAAGGGACATACGGGTGTAACGGCATGAATTTTGTATTTTTTTCATTGTTATTCCGAACTTCCTTTTTTGCCCTAGTGAGTTTCAATTCTTTACTCAAAAAATTTTCGATAGAAACAAACGATGTATTTTTTTTTAATTTTTCCAATAGCATCGTGTCCGAATGCGTTTTTCAAATCAAGATGGTCCTAAGGGCGCTTCTAAACGAGCTTTTTTATCTCAATGAGAGAAAAGTATGTTCGGACGCATCTTGCTTTTTAAAAAGTTGAAGGTAGTTTAGACTCGTCTCAATTTTATTCAGTATTTTAAACGCACTTAGATGGATTTTTTATATCGATCAGAGAAAAACGCATTCACATTTGGCGGCGATGACACAATAGTACTGGTTACATCTTTTTTCTTCATTCACTCATCTTCAGATGTGTAGCGAGTGATCACAGAATGATCCACGTAACAAGATGTCAAGATAAAAAAATTCACTTTTCATGTCGTTACACCCGAATGTCCCTTCCAAGGGACAGTGAATTCATAGCACCGTTACGCAAAGAAGAATGCTACAAAAATTTCTTCTTTGATTTCATTATAAAGTACATCCATACAACCAGAACTATCAACTACAAAATTAGAAAATGGTTTAGTGGCTACACGTATAGAAAATATTTAAAAACAAAAATTAATTTCTGAACTTCATTCAATTTTAAAATTCAAAAATATCGGATTAAGATGGAAATTTTTCTTTCTTATTTCAATCAAACGTTAGGCTACTCTATTGTCTTACATTAGTAATAATCTAGCTTTTTGGCTGATGATCCGTTCTTTTTATAAATCTATTATATCAACGTCCCTTGGAAGGGACCGGCGGGTGTAAAGGGTTAGTTCATTAAAAGAGATACATTGTAAAATATGAATTTGTATCTCTTATGAGAAGGTTCGCTCTATATTATCCGCATATGAAGGACTCTTCATTCATCATATTTTCCTTTTCAAGCTTTACTGTCCACATATACTCATTTTCTGATGTTCTTTGAAATAATCGTAATGTAATCTAAAATTAAAATCTCAAATAATCAATAAATATTAAAAATATGGAATCAAAAAATTACCTGCTGTGATGTCGATTATCGGCCTGTCCAAATGTAAAGAAATTTCATTTTTCTAACTTGTGCGCCCTCTATCTCGGTAAGCACGGAATAGATAAAAGTGAAATTTTTATCAAATGTGTATCCCATCTGGTCCTGTTACAAAGAAAATTTTGAGTTGATTTCATTCATTCGATCAAAAGTTATAGGCAAAATGAAGGCCGTAACGGAATCGTCCAAAAATGAATGGTTTTTTCAGAGCTTTTAGAACTTTAATAATTTCTCTAAAATTAGACATCACGGGAAGACCTTGTTTGTATGAAACTTGTAGAATTTTCTTCAGGCTTTCAGAATATCTAATTGGTTTTGCCTGACGATGTCTAGATCGGGGAAAAGAGCAAAACTACGTCCGTAACGGAATTTCATCTTTTTTCGTAGTTCCATATGCGGTGATTACTCCTCATTGCGAAGTTTCACCAGGAGAAATTTCACGTGATAAGGTCGGTTGACCGGACGAAATGCTGATGAACCTCACTCGAATTAAGGGTACAAACTCTTTTCCCGACTTCTGACTTCTATTTGAAAAAGACCTCCGAGCTCTCAAAGGCGTCCGTTTTTGCACATGGATTCCACTGAACTGAAGAAACTCTCTCATGTGAATGAAGGTTTTGATACCTTCTATTTCCGAATCCGATCTCAAAATTTACAAACTTTAATTTTAAAGTGGGTTTTGAAGTTCAAAACCCACTTTAAAATTGAGATTTTCAATTTTTGACCTCTGATTCATGATCAGCGTGAAAAAGTGCGTTTAATGATGTGTTTCGCAAAACTAATTGCGAAAAAAAATTTTCACGCAAACTCCTGAAACGAAGGAGACCGTTAGGTGGACAAGCCGTTATGAGAACGAACATATTTGTCATTTATTTTCATCGAAAATTAGCAAGCTACTTGGATTACACTAAATATTCTATTCTATATGTTCAATCTAATTGTGTACTCAAGATTATTAGAATATATTTTCTTACTTCAGAAGATTTCTGGAAAACGTTTCCGAAAACAACATCGTTTCCTGTAAATCTTTAAAATATTTAATGAACTCCAAATGGTTTAGTCTAAAGAAAAGAATGTTTACGTTGGAATTCCGACGTACTATGAATTTGAGTGAAGTGCTAGTTGTTCTCGGTAAAATTGGAACAAAAATGGGTTATTTCATTTAACATAGGAATTCTCGTTCTTAGTGAAACCCTTTTAATAGAATTCTTGGCTTTCTTCTGCCTTTAAATCGATAAATAAATAGAGTCTAGAATATTCTGCAGTCACAACTATGTTAGGACAAAATAGATTTTCTCATCATGATAATGAAGATAAGTCTAAAATAAAAAAAATATCAGTTACATTGCATAGAATTGAAGTGAAGCTAGTTTATTGGTACATGACCAATTCAGTAACATGGAGGCTGTTAACACACATTAAATGAATCTTAGTTTTGACTATCTAAGCATGAGATATATCAGATAAGTGGAAACGAGTGCATTATGCATGTTGTGATTGAAGATATTTTATAATTAGTTTAATTAGTTCATCTCTGTTCCAGAGTTCATTCTTTTTCTCGTTATTCTAAAAATTCACAAGTGCTTGAATAAACGAAGTTGACGCCCATCAGTTTTACGCAAATGCACTGTGAACGGCTCTGTCATGAGTAACAAAAACCTATTGAAAAGGCAAAGTTATTCGCCTTGTAGTTCAAAAACAAATGCTACATTCTTTAGTTTTCACATTTTGAAACAACTGGTTTAAACGCAATCAACAATCAGATTGAGTAAATGAAATTA